TTCCGGGAGAGAGAAGGGCCTCTGTAGTCAGCTGCCCAGACCCTCCCAGGAACCAGCTATTAATCCCACCCCTAAGGAGGACTCCAAGAGGAGACTTGGGTTTAGAAGCAAGTGCATCTACCCATGTCCTCCCCGCCTCACACCTTTGATTGACTCTCAGCCCCCTTAAGCAGCCACGGTCACCACTCTGCTTCTGCCCCTCCCCTTTCCGCACCTCCTTCCTCTTTCCTTCCTCCATCTTGTTTTCCATCTCACTCTAAGGCCCAGACAGTCCTCACCTGCACATCACTCAGTCTCCCGAGTGCTGGGACTGTAAGTGTGAGTTACCATGCCTGGACTTTCCTTCCTTCTCCCTCCCTTCCCCCCTCCCCTCCCCTTACCCCTCCCCTCCCCTCCCCTCCCCCTCCCCTCCCTTCCCTCCCTCCCCTCCCCTCCCCCTCCCCTCCCTTCCCTCCCTCCCCTTTGCTAGTTGTGATAGTTCAAGCTCCTGAAGAACTCCTTTCCAAACACGCTGCTGAAACACCACTGAACACACAAACTGCTGGGGAACACAGCTTGGAAACAAACAGCAGCTGCTCCCATTTATGACCCCCCTCTTCATTTTCTTCTAATCATGTTTGTCATAAAACTTGCCGTTCTAAATGGCTTAGGAACTTAACAAACTGGACTTTTCTCTCGTGGGCTCCCAGGTAGCCCTGACAGTGTCTTAGTTAGGGGTGGCGGCCCAGCGCTGCTGTCGCTAACACTTTCCCCCCCTCTTGCTTCTGGTCTGTGCACCAGGTGGGTGGGACTGGAATTTCTGGCATCTTCTGTCATCTCCTTCTCTGATTCTGTAAGAGTAGTTAATGCTTACTCCAGTTTTTCTCAGTGACCCAAAGTTTCCTGTTTCTGATTTTATTGGATATGTATTGGAGTGTATGTATGTTTGCATTGTGTGTGGGGACATACACGTATATGCTTATGTGTGTGGAAGCCAGAGGTTGACATTATCTATCTTACTGGTTACTCTTGGTAAAATTCCTTCCCTGGGGACTATGTAAAGCAAAGTCTACCCTTCTTTGGAGATCCCAAGGATGAACCAAGGCATGATTCTGTGCAAAGTTCACTGGGAAACCGAGGAATTTACTGTGCTTCCTTACCGAGCAGGCAAGGTGAGGGGTTAATTATGGGGGGTGGGGTCACTCCTCTGCATACAGGCTGCACCTGAAAGCCTTACCTAGCCAGAATGCAGGCTTTCCCACTAGTCATCCACATGGAGTCCATGCTCTAGTGTTTCCCGGCCTCTATATACTCTAGATCCTCCCCGAGGCCACGTGGATCCTGGCAGGGGTATGAGCAGGGATTTCAGCCTACAATCTCCTGCCCTTATCTGAGCACTTATTCCCAGGTGGGGGTTGTGGACTGTCAGCCAGTCTAGCTGGGGTTATCCTTTGCCGTTTCCACAGTTTGTCTCCCCAACATGGCCGTTGCTTGGCTCATAGGGCGGTCTCTCATATGGTCAAGTCCACTCTGCTGGCCATATTTCCCACCACTTTCTCTCCCTGCTCTGGACCCTTCTAGATGCCGCTGGCTGTTCTCTCCCTTATATCTACAACAAAGTCCTTCCCTTCAGGCACACCTTGGAGCGGTCACTCCTCACTTTTTACACTTTCCTAGCACGACCCAAAGCCCTGGGTTCTAACCCAGCACCACATCAGCTGGGCATGGTGGCATAGACCTGTGATCCCAGCACTTGGAGGATCAGGGTGAAAGGTCATTGTGAGTTAGAGGCCAGCCTTGGCTATGAGACCTTGTCAAAATCCCAAAGTGATTACTATTAGCTTGTCCACTTTTCATGGAGTCATGGCAGGGGGAAAGCCACCTGTGTTTTACAGGCTCGGACACCAGCCTGTGCCTCCAGGCCCTCCTAGGGTCACATAGCACTCAAGTCAAAGCAGCATTTGGTCTGGGTATGTCTGAATCCAAGGCTTGGGCTGGTCCTCTCCTCCCTGCCAGCCCACCTGCCAATACATGCATCAGGTGCTCTTCTGTGTGACCACTCAAGGTAGGCTCCTCTCTCAGGTTTTTCTCACCTCTCAATATTTTTTTAAGTTAAATTAGGTGACTAACACTTAAAAATTAGATCACACCTTAAAGAAAATGTCTGGGTTTTCTTGAGAAATCATTAGCCCTGGCAGTTTTGTACTCTTATGCTGGCAGGGCAGTAATTAGTTGTGCTAAGTAGCTCTTTCTCCCTTCCCTCCCTGTCCCTGCCTAGCGGAGGAATGACTTCTCCAGTAGGCCACTTCACTCCCTGGTCTAACATGATTATGCTAGGGACTCTTCATTTATTCCTTTACATTTTAAAAATTATGGTTTTTTTAGTGTGTGTGTGTGTGTGTGCATGTACTCGCGAGTGTGCATAAGCGCATGCGTGTGTGTGTGTGCGTGTGTGCATGTGTGTGTGCGTGTGTGTGTGTGTGTGTGTGTGTGTGTGTGTGTGTGTGTGTGTGCAGAGGACAGCTTGCCGGAGGTTGACTCTCTCCTTCCACCAAGTGGTCCTGGGGTCCTCGCGTCCCCAGGCTTGCTGGCCTTTATCACTTCAGCCAGTCTTCTGGTCTGTTTATTTCTTTAAAGAAGCAGTTTCTTTTGGGTTAGGAGTCATAGGGATAAAGGCCTTGAATTTCATGGATTTTGGTGGATTTAATGCATCGTTTTCTTCTCTACTTCTTGGGACTGCAGCTCAGTATCAGCTGTGGCTGAGGGACAGTCACTGAGCCCAGGAGCCCATGGCCGTGGACAGTCACTGAGCCCATGGCCGTGGACAGTCACTGAGCCCATGGCCGTGGACAGTCACTGAGCCCATGGCCGTGGACAGTCACTGAGCCCATGAGCCCATGGCCGTGGACAGTCGCTGAGCCCATGGCCGTGGACGGTCACTGAGCCCATGGCCGTGGACGGTCACTGAGCCCATGACTGTGGACAGTCACTGAGCCCATGACTGTGGACGGTCACTGAGCCCATGGCACTTGGTTGGCTTTGAGGGTTGATAGGACTGTTTGCTGCCATGAACTTGCGTAATTCTTCTCTTTACATTTCCCTGTGAGTACTGCAAAGGCATATCTGGCAGGCCAGCATTGCAGGGATGAGAGGTGAAGCCAAGGAAAAGCATCCAGGGAGGTGGCTTTCTAGACCCCCCACCCCCCGCCATTTCTCTCTTGGAGACTGTAGAGTCCCATAAAGCAGATCGCCTCACACTTCAGGAACACATTGTATCAAGTTGCTGTGATAAACACCATGACCACAAGCCACTTGGGGAGGACAGGGTTTATTTGGCTACCATGTCCTGATACTGGCCACCATTGAGAGAAATCAGGGCAGGAACTCAAGCAAGAGCAGAGGCATGGGGAAAAGAGCAGGAACAACAGGGAAAAGCTAAAGGCTTGCTCTCCATGGCTCACTCAATCTGCTGTTTTCCCAACCCAGAACCACCAGCCCAAGGGTGGCATTACCGATGGACTGGGCCCTCCTACGTCAATCATGAGTCAAGAAAATAACCCACAGACTTGCCTACAGGCCAGTCCGATGGAGTCATTTTCTCAATTGAGGTTTCTTTTCCAGATCACTCTTGCTTATGTCGTTAAAAAACAGACAAACAAACAAACAGCTAGCCAGCACACCTTGTTTTCTTTCCAGCATCCACCTTAGTAAGTGGCTTTAGACGTTTCAAGAGAAATAATTTTTAAAAAAATAGAACTTCCTCTAGATAATCTGAACCTTTCATGTTCCTGCAAGAGCACCTTGATTCCACAGTGAGAAAAATGTTAATTCTTTTTTGTTGTTTGTATGTGGGTGTACACACACATGGACAGAGGTGTGGTTTGTATGTGGGTGTACACACATGGACATAGGTGTGGTTTGTGTGTGGGTGTACACACACATGGACAGAGGTGTGGTTTGTGTGTGGGTGTACACATATGGACATAGGTGTGGTTTGTATGTGGGTGTACACACACATGGACGTAGGTGTGGTTTGTGTGTGGGTGTACACACACATGGACAGAGGTGTGGTTTGTGTGTGGGTGTACACACACATGGACATAGGTGTGGTATGCATGGACATGTGTGCACATGTGGAGGCCAGAGGTGGATGTCAGCCATCTCCCTCAGTCACTCTCCACTTTGTTTTGAGACAGGGTCTCCTTTCTCTCACTGAACCTGGGACTCGCTGATTTGCTAGACTAGCCAGCCATCCCAGGAACCCTCTTGTCTCCAGTCCTTAGTTCTGGGATTTTAGACTTGTTCTGCCATGCCAAGCTTTAAAAAGTGGGTCCTGTGGATGGAACTCAGGTCCTTTGCATGCATGGTATAGCGAGTCTTTCTCTGTCCTGCCAGCCAGCTCCCAAATAACCACATGGAGACTTATTATTAATGATGAAAGCTTGGCAGATAGCTTAGGCTTGTTTCTAACTAGCTCTGATAAATTAATCCATTTCTATTAATCTATGTGCTGCACTGGGGCTCATTTACCTCATTTACATACTGTCCATTCCTGCTTTCTTGCTTCCTCTGTGTCTCTTCATGTTTTACCCCTTCTTCTTCCCAACATCCTCTGTGCCTGGAAATCTTGCCTAGCTATTGGCCATTCAGCTTTTTATTAAACCAATCAGAGTGCCACTTTTTCACAGTGTATAAAAAGATTATTCTACGACAGTAAGACAAGGACTCTATGGACTGAGTCATCTCCCTAGCCACCCCTTTTATTGTTTTAATGTAAAACAATTTCCTTTTTTTCTATTTAAATTCATCATAAAAGTATGAAAAAAAGTGACTTTGACTAACTTCATAGCTGTGGTTTAATTAAACTTTAAAAAAAATCATACTATTTGGTAGTTACACCTAGAAGATGCCCTCCCCTCAAATTCAAGTGATTTAATTGCTTATTTTGAGTAAATATTTGCTTTTGATGATGACAGGGCCTGGGATGGTGTTTTAAATTTTGATTTTTGGTTTTTCTTCAGGACCCCGCAGGGATCTTTGAGTTGGTGGAACTTGTCGGAAATGGGACGTATGGTCAAGTTTATAAGGTAAGAAGGGTAAGCTTGAGTATGGCTTGTGTGTGGTGTGGGTTTCTGCGTGCCAAATAACAATGCTGTCCATACTTGTTCCTAAATGCCTCATCACAACAGATATCAAGTGGAATTGGTCATTGGTTGGTTCACTCTCCATTCTTTTGGACAGAGCTGTATTTGAACTGACTATGCGGGGTTCTGTGGCTTGAGTTCTCCTGCAGTGTTTAACACAGTGTTTGTACTGGAAGCAATCCTCAGATGTTGCTTATCTGAAACTCGCTAAGTGGCTAGATTCTTTCACATTAAGCACTGCCAAGCTGGTTTCCAAAGGAGCAAAGGACACCATTCACTTTTGAAATTCAAGCTATTAGACTACCGTGGCTGCAGAAGTGAATTTGTTACTCGCCCAGGGCAGTAGTCAAATGAGCTTCCTCGCAGTGTTAGGAGAAAGCTGACTAGCTCACCTGCTCACTCGCTCACAAGCGGAGACCCAGGATCAAGATGAACCCACAAGACAGGAAGTAGTGAGATGGCAGTTTGAACTGGGATTAGACTTCAGCTCTTTCATTAATTCTGCCTACAAATTCATCCAAAAATGTTTAAAAGGAGTCTTTCCCCCTAATAAAATTTTTTTTTAAAAAAGATATAGGTTGATTCCTCTTTTGATGAGTGAAAAGAAATACAGGTGAACTGTTGGGGGACTAGAATTTGGGGGCTTTTGGTAAATGAACCATTAAGAATCCTTCAGAAACAAGCCAATGTGTCCTCTGGATTATTTCCAGGGAGCAGTCACCATTATTCTAAGTGGTGGCAATATGGGATGGGATTTCAAGTACAGGTCATTCTCATTGTCCTATTTTTAAAAATTCCTTCTTTGCCCTAAACTTCTTCTAACTGATTCAAAGTGTTGTAGAAGTCATACAGACTGTAATATTCTGCAGAATGTCAAAAGTGCAGGGATGCGTAAGATATTGTGAGAATCTGGTTTTCAAAGCACTACTGTGAGTGGGTGTGCATGGATGCTTTTATTTGACTAGGAAGTAGTTTTTGGTGCCTGCAAGAGTGAGAGACAAATTCTCCCTTACAAGAAGCAACCGTTTCCTACAGTGTCAAGCCTTTACAAGAAGCAGCCATTTCCTACAGTGTCAAGCCTTTACAAGAAGCAACCAGACTGCAGACTCCATGAGCTGCTCACTTGATGTTGGTCCTGCCCGACACAGAACGAGATTCTCTTAGAAAGTGCTTTTAAATACTTGCAATGAAGATAATTAAGTTGGATGATTGTGTTATCGCAGCTTGAGAAATTGGATTGATCTTGCCATGTAACGTGGCTAATGAAGGAAACTCTATTCCAGGCAGAAAATGACTCCTGACTTCTTGTCAATGTGGTGGAGCATCAGCAGTGTGCCGTTAGTTTGAGGATAGCATTGGAGGATGCTTCCCACTGTAGAGTAGACATTGGGACACACTTAACAGCTTCATCATCTAATCCAGCAGGTAGAACAGTACAACCCTGCAAGAGGCTAGAACAAAGGTATGTGGTACTGTCATCCTGTCAGGGTCCAGGATCGCCTAGAAGATGAACCTCAGGGAATATCTGTCAGGGAGTTTCAAGATTAGGTAAATTGAAGTGGGAAGCCTACCCCAAATTTGGTAGTGTTGTATCATTTGTTGGAGTTCTAGACTGGATAAAAAGGAGAAAGTGAGCTGAGCACCAGCATTCATCACTCTTTACTTTTGACTGGGGAAGCAGTGTGACCGGCTCCCTTGCATTCCTACAGCACATAGGTAGAGCGGGAAGGTCTGCAGCACATAGGTAGAGTGGGAAGTTCTCCAGCACATAGGTAGAGCGGGAAGGTCTGCAGCACATAGGTAGAGCGGGAAGGTCTCCTGCACATAATAGAGTGGGAAAGTCTGCAGCACACAGGTAGAGCAGGAAGTTCTCCAGCACATAGGTAGAGTGGGAAGGTCTGCAGCACACAGGTAGAGCAAGAAGGTCTGCAGCACATAGGTAGAGTGGGAAGGTCTCCAGCACATAGGTGGAGTGGGAAGGTCTGCAGCACACAGGTAGAGTGGGAAGGGGAGATTGCAGACGTCATAGTTTGGGCATGTGACCTGGGGATGGGAGATATGGTCTCTTTCACAGCCCTATTCGCTGTTTTGTGGCTCTCACAATTTTTCATACTTGAGTCCAGTGAGAATGTAGTTGGAGACGCTGTGGGGCTTGAGCTGCCTTATCTAAAGAATTGTCACTTCCTAGTTAGTTCTGGTTTATTTTCTAGGCCACTGGGTTATGTTAGGTGGTGTTCCTCATGATCCGAGATGGTCCTGTTTCCTCAGGACCAATGCAGTCCTGCTGCTGCCTAACTGCCTAACACAGCAGCAGCATCTGAATTGACAGAATGAGAACCTTAAGCTAAGTAAATTGGGAACTGATTTTTCACACCATGCATTTACAATTTTTGTGGACTAGGCACATTGCAAAAATAATGTAGGCATATATAGAAATTTTATAACCTTGGTTAGGAATCCTTCCACATAAAATTGTATACAAATGTTTTCTTTCCATTAAATATTAAACCTATTAATTGTAATTAAATTAATTTTGTGAATTTACCCGTTGGTGATGTTGAGCTTCACAAAGTAATGTATAATTTTATGAGTAACTGAGTAACCTTTATTTTGTGGAATATTTATCATAAGACTTTTTAATAAGCTCTCTTTACAAGAGTCATAGTATAATTTTATTTTCAAGTAACATTTAAGAAACATGTCATATGATGAATAAAAAGTACATATAGCCTTTAAAAGTATTTCCTGAGCTGCTTCTGTATCAGAGACAGATACATCTAGCTTTGAAAAAGAAACATTTTGTATAAAAGCCATTAAATAATGTGTAGCTTTCCAAAACTACCTCCAGCCTCACTCCCAAGTCTAGTTTATGGTTACATGCTCTTTGGAAAAATTAGCTCTAACAGTTTGGTCTCAGTAATCAAGTGATAATTTGATTTAGTTTTATTTGTAATTTTATTTACTAGATGGAATAGGTTAATAATTTAAAAAATACTTTTCATTTTTTTCTTTTTTCTTTTCTTTTTTTTTTTTGAGAAAGGGTTTCTCTGTATAGACCTGGCAGTCCTGGAACTCTGTAGATCAGGTGGCCTCGAATGCAGAGATCTGCCTGCTTCTGCCCCCATTGTGCTGGGATTAAAGGTGTGCACACCATGCGCAGCTCCTTCTGTTCACTGCCTCGGTCATGGTTTTATCACAGCAGTGGAAAAGGAACTACGACACTGGTTTTCTTTGATCCTGATGTAAGGTTACTGGAATGAAAGCTAAGCCAAGCACTTTGTAAAACCTTAGGTGTTCCAGACTGATTCAAACTTACATAAACTAAGACACAGAGCAAAGTGTCTTGACATGAGATGTGATGGCCACCCGACTTGAGCTCCTCATCCAGTGTTTTTATTTGGCATGGTTATGATTACAGTATGAGGTTGCTGAAGACCTGGAAATCAGTACTGTCAAGACTAAGCAGGTGAAGAAGAAAAATCAGTCTATTGTGTGTGATTTCCTTAAATACATATATCACACTGTCTTCATTAACTGTCTGTTAAAAATAAAGTGTTTTAATAATAAGCCTCCATGAAGCCAGAAGAGGGGGTCAGATTACTTGGAACTGGAGATAAGGACAGTGGTCAGCTGCTACCTGGGTACTGGAAACTGAACCTGGGTCTTCTGCAAAAGCAGCAAATGCTTTGAACACTGAGCCCTCTCTCCAGCCCAGACATTTATTTTGTTTTGCTTTTTAATAAAAATTTCCAATATAAGTAACACAGTGGCCGAGCGGTGGTGGCATAGCCGGGCGGTGGTGGCGCACGCCTTTAATCCCAGCACTTGGGAGACAGAGGCAGGTGGATCTCTGTGAATTTGAGGCCAGCCTGGTCTACAAATCAAGTTCCAGGACAACCAGAGCTGTTACACAGAGACACCCTGTCTTTAAAAACAAAAAACAAACAAACAGAAAAAAATAATCCACCTTTCCACACTTCTAAGTTCCAATGATAAAAAACTCTGTGCCTTGTGAAGGAATGAGGAAAGGAAGAGGAAGCAGTCCTCACTCTCAAGAAGGATGCAGTTACATGATCTAGTCAGGATGCTGCATGCCCATTCTTGCCCAAGGTTTTGTGGTTCCTGTGCTTGCTATTTTAAACTGTAGTTATGGTCCCATTTTACAGGAGGAAATGCCATCTCAGCCTCAGCACTCCAGATCTTCTTTGTTATGACAGTTGTTCTGGGTAGTAAAGAAGGCTTACCAGCGTGTCTTTTGTCTCTAACTCACAAGACACTAGTGCCACCTCTAAGAGGTGACAATCAGAATGCTTCCAGACTCTGCCAAACAGCCTCAGAGGAACAGAATCCTCCACAGTTGAGAGCCACTGCTTAAGGACAAGAGAGTTGCAAGAGTTGTAAACTGAGGTACAGAGACACCAGGCTCGTACAGTAGAGGCCAGAGTGCAGGCCTAGGTGGGTTAGATGAGGAGTGTTCTGGACACGCTGAGGGTTCCCGGCATCAAGCTGCACTGGGGAGAGTCATTTAGTATCTTTGTAAAGGGAAAGGATTTGGGAGCAGTCCTGAGCTGGCTTCTCAGTGTGCCTCTGCTTTGTTCTAGTCATGTGAAGACAGCGCTTGGTTATTCTGAGTCTGCGTTTCTTCATCTGTTGTTAACAGTGCAGGATAGGGAGGTTCTGAAAATTCGTGTGTACAGTTCATGGAAGCCCTGACACACACAGCAGCTTGCGAAAGACCTTTGCTTCTTTCTAAACATGAGTGCCAGGTCTTTTCATGATCTCGATTTTAGAAAATGTTTTATGAGCTGAAGGAAACATTCACAGAATAATGAAGCATCATTCAATGCTTGACCAGTTTCTGAGATGCTCAGAGCACCAACATTTGTTGTAAAACCAAGGATCAATGCTTCTTATATGGCATTTGATGACATAATTGTCATTTA